GTTTACAAGATTAGAATTTAATTTCCAGTCTTGGATATTGTTTAAGCTGAAATCCTAGATATATTTTGGTGGTGTCCTTTTGCAACAAGTTATGAAGGCATTGCTACAGTTCGTGCTCAACGAGGCTAAAATATACCGACGAAAGAGATGGATTAATAAGATTCGAATTTCTTAAAGGAATCTTTGTAAAGCATTATTATTATTATTATTATTATTATTATTATTTTAACTCCTATGTCTCTTATCATTTACGCCCTGGGTTTTACGACACGTTGACTGGCAACAAAATGTAAGTATAGGGTCATGTAAGGGCCATAATTTGTCAAAAAATACGTTAGGTATCAATGAAAGATTTTTTAGTGTTAATATATTTTTTTCGTTTCCGTTATTTTATCCCTAACCTCAGTGGCGACGATTACATTATAGTATTTTCCAAAATATATATATATATATATATATATATATATATATATATATATATATATATATATATATATGTGTATATATATATATGTGTGTGTGTGTGTGTGTGTGTGTGTGTGTGTGTGTGTGTGTGTGTGTGTGTGTGTGTTTGTGTGTGTGTGTCAGGTGCTCTCAAATGCTGCATTCGTTTTAATGTCGGTGTTCTCACAATCTTTTAGACATCAGGTCAGAAATGGCAACATGAAATTTTCCACTGATCATTTTTGTAATAAAAAAGCAAACAGACTAAGATCACACTTTTTAAAATACATCTTCGTAATGTGTGAGGTGTACTTGTGAGTACAGTTTTTTTTTTTTTTCTTTAAGGTATGGGCATCCAGGAATCCCTTCAGTGAGTCTATTGGAAACTTATCCAATCAGTTCGAGGGATCGAACTAGAAATGAAATGATTGATGTCCTCGTGCGACATTTTTTAAATTCCAACTTCAAGATCCTTTTTTTTTGATAGTTTTTTTTATTTTAAAGTCTTCAAAAATACATTACAGTCTACAGGAATTGCCATATCAATAAGAAAGCACCATTCTTTTATTCTTCTGGTCTTTTATCACGATGTCTGGCCGATTAGCTTTGTTTCGTCTGTGCCTATTGTAAAGTCTCAGAAAATAATAATAATAACAATAATAATAATAATAACAATAAAAATAATAAAATTAAAATAATTAAAATAATAATAATAATATTAATAAAAATAAAAAGAATAAGAAGAATAATGAAAATAAAATAATAATAAAAATAATAATAATAAAAAATAATAATAATAATAATAAAAAATAAAAATAAAATAATAATAAAAAATAATAAAAATGAAAATAATAATAATAAAAATAATAATAATAAAAATATTAATAATAATTTAAATAAAAATAATAATAATAAATAATAATAATAATAATAAAAATAATAATAATAATGAAAATAATAATAATAATGAAAATAATAATAATAGTAATAATAAAGTAATAATAATAAAATAATAATAATGAAAATAATAATAATAATAATAATAATAATATAAAATAATAATAGTAATATAGTATTTCAACTTATATCTCTTGATTTTGCAACTAATAATAGTCTCCATCTTTCAGGTGGTGGTGTAATTATGATTCTCCACAACATCTATTATTTTTTTTTATGTCTTTCAACTTATCTATCTTGCTTCTGCATTTTATACGTTTTAACATTTTTTATATGAATTTTGATCAAATATATTTTTTTCCTATAGTTTCCTTCATGATAATTGCTGATATTTTTCGATATTATTAAATGAGACGATACTATTATTAAATGCTTTGATATTTGGATATTCAGGCATACTCATCTTGGTGGTTATAATTAAAATGTTTCTGCAGTTTTATGATGCGGTCTTCTTCAGGTGAATGGTTTTGTACTCAGTAATCTAGACGGAATTTCAAAAACCAAACACTTTATGTCTATTGTTCTCATTCCGTTTTCCATTCATACGGAAGATAAATCACCTCAGTTATGACTTACCAATTTCTGTTTATATAACTTGGTGCCGTTAATTCGTGTATTCAAAAGCACTAGAGTAGAAGATTTTTCAAGACCACCTTAACTAGGGATCGAACTCATGACTAGATATATTTTAATCAATACTTCATATATTTTAATCAATCCACTCGGACAAATATCTCGCTTTAAAGTGTACGAAGACAGATACATGAAGAGTACAAGGAATGATTTTTTGCACTTTTAACAATTAAGAAAAGAATGGTGGCAGGAATAAAAAACAATCATATTGTAATATTTGCAAATACGAGTGTGAGCTGGATGGTTCATAGGTTAACTATGAAGGGATGATATAAAAGCTATGAGATCTTGCATACATTAATTTCATCTCTTCTTATTACGACTGTCGGCTGAATTGTTCAGCGGCTGACTCTAAAGGAATGGTACTAAATCTGTGAAATCTGGTTTGCATTAAATTTAAATCTTCTCATTACGAGGATTGGCTGAAATATTCATAGGATGACAAAGTAGAACTTCTTCTAGACCTGTGAAATCTTGGATTAATTTCATCTCTTCTTATTACGAGTCTGAGCTGAATCGTACCTTTCCTAAATGAAACAGTACGCCTTTTTATTTATTTATTTTTTTGAGCTGATATAATATAGTTGTACTATAACGGGAATTTGTACACAAATTTGTTTATCCGAATTGTCTAATAATATTAAGGAGTATTTACTATTTTTCTAGAATTCCGTAGAGATTTTTCGATATCCCCATTTTATGAGGAGTGTGAAAGGCAAATGACTCGAGCTGTATCGTTAAGATAGCGGCAATAAAGATTTTTCTTCCGTGAAATCAAAAAACGTCATCTCATGTCAAGATGACGTTTCAGGCATTTATTTTTCCGTTTCTTCGACAAATAACTAAGATAAAATGTAAATAAGGAGGAAAAAATCTCTACTTGCATTAAAAACGCATTAAAATTCCATTAAACAACGATTGGATGCTTGATCCAATTCTTTCCACCTATTAATCTGACCATTCCAATTAATTTTCCCGCCTTCTTGAGTCACACTAATACAAAAAACCTGTCTACATACAAACTTCCATCTATATGTCATAGGAAGAAATCTTTGAGCATTTGTAATTTATTGAAATAAAAAGGGGAAAAAAACACTATAACATGATAGATGTCATGATATAGCAATATACAGTGGAAATGTCTACTTATATTACTGTTTCTTTAATATTTATTGTCAGTGTGAACGCCGATTAGGGTGCTAATGTTAAGGCGATATAAGTTATCGGAATTCCAACTGGCCATACTAATGGGAGCTAGACAGATGGGAAGTTCATATCTGAAGCGATAAAGATTTTTGACATTGCATGACTACGGTCTCTAGCGGAAATACTTTATGGAAGATATAAAGAGAGGGTTTCTAAGATTTATGTGGCAACAGACCAGCGTTTCTCGTTCAAATAACATTAAATGCAGGATGGACCTGACGCATGGACAGCAGTTCACTTCGGTGTTTTGTTTTTATGCCGTTCAGGGCGGCCATGTCTACACTACAGTATTGTTAACCCTGACACAATTGACCACGTTACGTCACGGATTTAAAGCTAGGCATCAAGTTTTGAAATCCGATCCTAGTTGCATTGTGTCGAGTCTAGGTGTGACGCAGACGCAAAGAGGTCATGAAACCAGTTGTTATCAAAGCAACTTTTAGGTTGGTGGTGATTTCATAATGGCGTAGGCCGTGTTTTGAAAGGACGATAGCGGGGAAGACCAGACAAATTGTTTAACAATAAAGATCTTCTTTACGGTTCTGAAAAAAAGAAAAAGAATGTTTCATTCAGATTTCGATTCTTCCCTTCAAACAAAAAGAAAATATTTTCTACCGAAACGAACTGTTTTTTCAAAAAAGATATTCGCCTCCCTAAGAACTTAATTTATGAATTTGTAGAATTTTTCTTACCTATCTTTGGAATGCATCGGCTCTTTTCAGCGAAAAATGATACTATATTTTTGGTAAAATATCTACCAAAGCCTAGTGGTAAAACGTTGGCATTCTGACCATAAGACCCGGGTTCGAATCTTACCATAGTTATTTGTCAGGAAAGAGACTTCCTGATGTTATCGGATTGGGGGTGGGTGATCCCAACATGCAGCACCTTTGGAAAGTTCCTGAGAAAACATACCACGGGTTGACCAAAGCCTTGTGAGTGAAATTGGGTTGACGTAATCCTTGGGGGCCGTCGATAGCTGTGTTAGCACGAAGTCACAAGTCATCGTGGCCGAGGGCTTGAGCGAGCTGGTCTTGTTCAAATTGCTGATCACGCTAGATAACACGCTCTTTCCCAGAAACTGTAACTAATTTGCATAGTTGCAGTATAAAGCGCAAGCCGCCCTAGTGGACGGGTATCCCCGAATACGATTGGCCAGGTAAACATAGACATACCAAATACTTGAAAGAGAAATTGCAAGTTATGTAAAAACCTATTCAAGAATTACCAAGGGTTAATTAATAGCGATTCTGACATTTTTATGGAAGTTTCAAATTATTTTATTTATTACGAAAGAATTCTTTTAAATAAAACTTTAATAAAAAAGGAATTTCACGTAAAAATTAATTAGTAGAAAACGTTACTTGAGGAAAGATTCGGCAAAATAACTAAATTAAATTTAATTTAATCAGCCTCAAATAAGTTACATTCAATTTAATTTTAATTTAAATCTTAATATTATACTTAAAATCTTTGGAAATATAATCTTGATACAATAATTAATAAATAGGATTTATTGTATAAAATCTGAATTGACTTTTCGTAATAATTATATGCATGTGATTTTTACTTTGAATTGCCAGATAAAAAGGGTTTTTTATCTCATATCTTAATTTTCGTGTCACCTTTTCCTTTTTCATTGCTTTACATTTTTTAATTATTTTCTTTCTGTTAAATGTCATGACGGAAACGTAAGTAAACATATGAAGGAATTATTTTTTTTCGCTGACAATAGATGCATATATTTAAAGTTTGTTCTTATGTTGTACAATTTTGTTCTTTATCGATCTATCAATCGATTCGAAGTTCGCTATCTATCTATCTATCTATCTATCTATCTATCTATCTATCTATCTATAGTATTATGTTCATATCTATCTATCTATATATGGTATTATGTCCCTTTCTATCTATCTATCTATCTATCTATCTATCTATCTATCTCTGTTGATTTATATCTATCTATTTAACTATTTATCGTGTTATTTTCATATCTAGCCAGATATCGTATTATGTTCATCTCTCTCTCTCTCTCTCTCTCTATATATATATATATATATATATATATATATATATATCACTATTTATCGTATTATTTTCATATCTAACCAGTTCATATCCTACCTATCTATCTATCTATCTATATATATATATATATATATATATATATATATATATATATAACAATGTATCGTATTATTTTCATATCTACGCAGTTCATATCCTACCTACCTACCTACCTAACTACCTATCTATCTATCTATCTATCTATCTATCTATCTATCTATCTATCTATGTCTGTTGATTTATATCTATTTAATGTTTGTTCTTATGTAATACAATTTTGTTTTTTATCGATCTAGCAATCGATTTCAAGTTCTTTATATATATATATATATATATATATCTATATATATATATATATAACTATTATCGCATTTTCTTCATATCCTATCTATCTATCTATCTATCTATCTATCTATCTATCTCTATATATATAACTATTTATCGCATTTTGTTCATATCCTATTTATCTATCTATCTATCTCTCTATATATATGTAACTATTTATCGTATTATGTTCATATCCTATATATATATATATATATATATATATATATATATATATATATATATATATAACTATTTATCGCATTTTTGTTCATATCCTATTTATCTCTCTCTCTCTCTCTCTCTCTCTCTCTCTCTATATATATATATATATATATATATAACTATTTATCGTATAATTTTCATACCTTATTTATCTATCTATTTATCTATCTGTCTTGAATCATACTATCTATTTAATGTTTTTCCTTATGTAGTACATTTTTTCTTTATCGATTTTAGCAACCGATTTTATCAGTCTATCAATCGAAGTTTCTTATCTAACTCAAATCTCTTCTGATATATCTGCATCATATCTACGTATCTTTCTTGGTATATTGATTTATATCTATACATCCATCGATTTATATCTTTCTATTTATCTATATATCTATTTATCTCTCTTAAGCCTATACTATTTTATCTGTCAATATCTTCGTAACTTCGTTTCATGGATTCTGATTGAAATATACACGTGAAATGCATCGTTTCTATATGCAATTTTAGCGCATGGAATTACAATTAGGTATACCACAACTGTTTGCCAGGTCATAAAGCATGCAGGAAATTGTCAGGGTGTAATGCAGTAGTTCCCAGCCGACTTGAGGCCATGTCCCACTTTGGTATTTCTAAAATTCTGGTGCCCCCCCTGTAATACTTAATTCTTACATATTCAAAGTTTTACTGCAATTCACGTGAAGGAAGCAAACTGAATGCTCACACGAGCTTACGCGCTGATTGGCCGACAAAACATGGGCTCTTCTAGCAACATGCATCACGCCCGCTCCTTACGCGTTGATTGGCCGACAAAACACGGGCTCTTCCAGCAACATGTATCACGCCCTCTCCTTTGTTGACTGAGACACGCGGGTGTGTGGAGATGGTAAATGTCCTGTATACCAATTACACATATACGTATATACAAAATATTTTTATGTATGCATACTGTATGTGCATCGTACACTCTCACTCAGATTTATCACTGTTAATAACTCATTCTCGAATTGCCCCCTTATTCTGTTGGTAATGTAGGCTAAAGGGTGCACATCCTACGCATACCCCACCAAAATATTACCATGCCCAACGGGTAGATCATGCGTCCCAGGTTGAGAATCATTGGTGTAATGCATTATTCACCTGAAGAACAATATATCCAGCAAATAAAATATATGTTACCATATTATCAACTTCGATGTTATTCATTTTTAAATTGCTGTATTTTCAAATAATTATCTGCGTAATTCTGTACTCAAATTATTGACTAGAAGATCGAAATGCAAGTCAGGCATCAAAGAAATATACCAACGTTTACATGACCGATTCTGGTCGTAGCTTCAAGTCGAAGTTGTCTCATATATATATATATATATATATATATATATATAGAACTTGTAAAACTTGGGATGACCTATGCCCTTTATGCATACATGAAAAACTACACATTATTAAGTTTCTAAATAATAAAAATCTATTAAACAATAGACATGAGTTAACTGTTTTTTGGCGACATCATCAAATTTTTGCATTGAATAATTAGCATAAAAACTAACAAACAATAAAATGATAACCAACAATAAAATGATTTTTAAAATCCATAGTCCTAATAAATAGTTTAAATGCCCTGCCAAAAAGGATAACCCTTTATGAAGTCGTCAAAAAACAAATGTTAGCGATTCACGACAGTTTTTATATACACAAAACCCTTTCAGAAAAAAAAAAAAAATAAAATAAATAAATAAATCTCCATAAACACTTAACCAGACTAGGCGATGTCTTCTTCCGCTTTAAATTTAGACACCCCCAACCTTATCCTGACTTGACATCTGTGAATGTAAGCGAGATATTGATACAAATTATTAATACCTTACGCCCCTGTTCTTAACAATTGCTGTAGCCGTTACCATAGAAATTTTGATTTTAATAATGAATATGCTTATAAAACACGTAAATTTCAGAAATAAGTTAGTCAAAAAAAATTTCGCTTGAAGATGGAACAGAGCTTAGTACTTTAATTCAATTTAATTCTAATAATTATATTGAAGTTTTCGGCTCTTGTTTTGAAACATGAGAACTCTTATGTAGCGTGTTGGAAACATATTTTTAAATAAATAATTATATATATATATATATATATATATATATATATATATATATATATATATATATATATATATATAGTAGCGGGCATAATATAAGCAAGCAAACAACAATGACATAAATATGTGTATTACTTAAAAAGTAATGGATGATTAGCAATTAAATTTTTACCGAATAAAGATTAGGGTGTAATGCATAAATATTATACAAAGTTACAAAAATTTAAACTATAGTTTTTTTTTAAATAAATATTAAGATCGTTCTTTAACTTTTGTCCAGTAGCTTATTTCCTTTGTTCCATTTAATCTTTATTTAAAAAAAAAAAACTATTATTATTAGGTAAAAATTTAATTGCTAATCATGCATTACTTTTTAATACACATATTTATGTCTTCGTTTTTTCGTTTTATATTATTCCGCTATATATATATATATATATATATATATATATATATATATATATATATATATATATATATATATATATATAAGACAATGATCTTCATTAATCCATCTCCCGGACAAGCAATACTGGATCAACATCGATGGACAACCATACCATCGATGAAGTTCATTACTTTGTCAGCATCAACATACTTATTATAAAACCCAGGTTGTGTGTGTGTGTGTGTGTGTGTGTGTGTGTGTGTGTGTGTGTGTGTGTGTGTGTGCGTGCGTGCGTGCGTGTGTGCGTGTGTGTGTGTGTTCGTTCGTTTATATATTGGATCGGATTTCCTACATTTTTCAACCGATTTCAACAAAACTTCACTTTTTTTGGCAGGTAGTGTTTCTTATTGTCTTGCACACTTTTTTCTTTATTTTTACATTCAGAATTCTTTAAAAATTCAATTTACAAGACAATTGTTTATAATAAAATTCTATTCAATCAGTAGACTCATAACGATTGAAAACAATGTTTTTGTTTCAGTTTGGGTTTGACCAATTCGTAAAAAAAAAATTAAGACATGCGTCTCCGTCAACCTTAAACAATAATCTTTGTCAGTTTCATTTTTCAGTCTTTATCTCTTACTGTTACAACCTCGAGCAACGCCGAGCTCTGCTGCTAGTCTCGAATAATGTTACCTGTTAGAGAGACCTTCTAAACAGGATCAAAGCGGCTAATATTGTATACCGAACGCTCTCACACCTGGTCTTCAACAATGACGGCTTCACCATAAAAAACAAAAATCCTCAGCCGATGTCCTGTCCACCCTTCCGAGAAATGGACTTTGTACCGTCGGGACATCAAACATCTGGAGCAGTTCCAGCAAGGGAAACACCGAAGTATCCTTCGCTTCAGGTGGGAGGAACGCATCATCAATAATAGGGACTTCCCTCTGACATCTCCCCCAAGCAGCGAGGCTACCATCCTTCAACATCGCCTCCGCTGAGTGGGTGACGTGTCCAGAATGCGTCCCACTCGACTCCCACGTATCAACCTATTTGAATATAATCCCCAGGGCAAGACGCTACGCGGAGGTTCAAAACGGCTCTTCAAGGATCAATTGAAGGCAAACTTGAAACGAGACCAGATAAACCGTTAATGCAAATCGACGTTCCTGGCGTAGGACCATCCAAGGTTGATAGGGGGCCGTCAATTTCGATTCAAACTGTCATCATGAAGAGGATCTGCGTCGTACTATGAGGGTCGGACTCAAGCAGCTGCGTTCACCACCCAGACTTTTCAATGATTCCTGCTCACGACATGAGTAGGCTGAACCTCCAACACTGTCACCGGAGGGGAGAAAAGGTAAATGGAAAGAGGGTGACGATATTGATGTTCGGGTACGAGCAGATGCCGAATATATATATATATATATATATATATATATATATATATATTGAACAATAAAAAATATAAAAAAATTAACATCTTCAGACACACTGGGTTGTATATTAATATTCTTTCGTTTTTATTATTATTTCATTTAGATTCTTCGATTAGTTTCGGCCAACATGGCCATCATCAGGAGAAAAAGCAATAAAAAGTGTAATACGATTTTGCAGTTCACGGAAAACATTTGCCATCTGACTTATAGTAAGGCCTGATATCACATTAGCTATTTTAACTTTCAAATCTTCTAATGAACTAGGTTTGGTTGCATACACAATTGTTTTCACATGTCCCCATAAAAAAAATCTAATGGAATCAAATCTGGCGAACGTGGAGACCAATAAAATGGTCCACCGCTTCCGATCCATCTTTTAGGAAATTCCTGATTTAGAAACTCTCTAACACGCAGAGCAAAGTGACAAGGAGCTCCATCTTGTTGAAACACGGTATTATAACAGATTATTTCTATCGCTAATACAAATAAAGTTATAAATTTTTAAAGTGCACACGAACTTTATGGACACCCTATATATATATATATATATATATATATATATATACATGTGTATATATATATATATATATATATATATATATATATATACATGTGTGCATGTGTGTGTGTATATATATATATATATATATATATGTGTGTGTGTGTGTGTGTGTGTGTGTATATATATATATATATATATATATATATATATATATATATATATATATATACACCCACACAGATAAGCCCCCTTATATTGATTGAGTCCACTAGACACTTGTACGTAAATGTTCATCTCGAGTTATTGCTTGTCGGATGTTTCCGTCGCCAATATGTCGTCGGAGATTTAAATCTGTCTTGAGAGAAGTAGAAGGAGGAGGAGAGTTTGACGCTGTCTTTCCTTTCAGTCAACAATCAACTATCACTCACCAGTGGAAGACAAAGGCTTGTCTGGCGCGCGCCGACGGCGGCCCTGGTGATGGCGTCAGCCCTTTCATCGTGAGACATGCATTTATCTGCTGTTTTATTTCAACCAATTATCAACTAGTCCAGATAGATTTCAAAGCGAAACTTCACATCAGTACTTGTTAACGGATCTTAGCAGGTTACTTGACAACCCACCAGATAAATAAAAAAAATCAAATACGAACAGATTATGATGAATAGAACTATTAGTAATAAAATTTTGACGTTGGAATAGGCATGAGCCGACCTTTCCCTAGATTCAGTATGAATTCGTGTAACAGTCTTGAGGAAAAACAGAATAAGCGAATCAAAGTTCAAATTCCATTTACAGTTCTTTATACACACGTAACATTTTTAAAAAGCGTTAAATATTCAATTCTGATGCTTTCTCGGCAGTTTTAGAGGAACCTCACCCTGTCTGACTACGTCCTCAGGGGTGCAACCGCCTTCACCACAATTGGCCAACTGCGGGTTGGTACACTATTTACATTATTCGGACTCTTGTCCTCATCTTTGTCACCATGTTTATCACAACGTTTCGGCCTTCTTCAGGTGGTTGGAATTTCGAACTGAACCCTTTAATTCGTTCACTGGGGTAGACTGTTCTAGTTCCACGTGCCGTGTCTAATGGATGTCAATTATCTCCTGTTAATTCCCCTCTGAAACTTCTCCACAGCCGTAAACTTGAGGGCACATGGAACAGTGGATAAAGGCGTGAGTTAGATCCAATGACAGAATCCAAAGAGTGAGAGTTCAATACACGGTTAAGGCAGTGGAGAACTTTCAATTGGAAATTAACAGGAGATAATTTCCAGGCCGGTTTCAAATTTAGAATTTTTCCTTTTAGACAAGTTGGCACCCAAAGATATAGAACCCAGTCTGTATCTGTCTATATTTCTGAGATGATGTATTATGTAAACTATTTACATTATTCGGACTATTGTCCTCATCTTTGTCGCCATATTTATTACAACGTTTCGGCCCTTCAGTATCTGTCTATATTTCTGAGATGAGGTATTATGTACACTATTTACATTATTCGGACTATTGTCCTCATCTTTGTCGCCATATTTATTACAACGTTTCGGCCATTCAGTATCTGTCTATATTTCTGAGATGAGGTATTATGTACACTATTTACATTATTCGGACTATTGTCCTCATCTTTGTCGCCATATTTATTACAACGTTACGGCCCTTCAGTATCTGTCTATATTTCTGAGATGAGGTATTATGTACACTATTTACATTATTCGGACTATTGTCCTCATCTTTGTCGCCATATTTATTACAACGTTTCGGCCCTTCAGTATCTGTCTATATTTCTGAGATGAGGTATTATGTACGCTATTTACATTATTCGGACTATTGTCCTCATCTTTGTCGCCATATTTATTACAACGTTTCGGCCCTTCAGTATCTGTCTATATTTCTGAGATGAGGTATTATGTACACTAGTTACATTATTCGGACTCTTGTCCTCATCTTTGTCGCCATATTTTTTACAACGTTTCGGCCCATCAGTATCTGTCTATATTTCTGAGATGAGGTATTATGTACACTATTTACATTATTCGGACTATTGTCCTCATCTTTGTCGCCATATTTATTACAACGTTTCGGCCCTTCAGTATCTGTCTATATTTCTGAGATGAGGTATTATGTACACTATTTACATTATTCGGACTATTGTCCTCATCTTTGTCGCCATATTTATTACAACGTTTCGGCCCTTCAGTATCCGTCTATATTTCTGAGATGAGGTATTATGTACACTATTTACATTATTCGGACTATTGTCCTCATCTTTGTCGCCATATTTATTACAACGTTTCGGCCCTTCAGTATCTGTCTATATTTCTGAGATGAGGTATTATGTACAATATTTACATTATTCGGACTATTGTCCTCATCTTTGTCGCCATATTTATTACAACGTTAGCGGCCCTTCAGTATCTGTCTATATTTCTGAGATGAGGTATTATGTAAACTATATACATTATTCGGACTATTGTCCTCATCTTTGTCGCCATATTTATTACAACGTTTCGGCCCTTCAGTATCTGTCTATATTTCTGAGATGAGGTATTATGTACACTATTTACATTATTCGGACTATTGTCCTCATCTTTGTCGCCATATTTATTACAACGTTTCGGCCCTTCAGTATCTGTCTATATTTCTGAGATGAGGTATTATGTACAATATTTACATTATTCGGACTATTGTCCTCATCTTTGTCGGCATATTTATTACAACGTTTCGGCCATTCAGTTTCTGTTTATATTTCTGAGATGAGGTATTATGTACACTATTTACATTATTCGGACTCTTGTCTTCATCTTTGTCGCCATATTTTTTACAACGTTTCGGCCCTTCAGTATCTGTCTATATTTCTGAGATGAGGTATTATGTACACTATTTACATTATTCGGACTATTGTCCTCATCTTTGTCGCCATATTTATTACAACGTTTCGGCCCTTCAGTATCCGTCTATATTTCTGAGATGAGGTATTATGTACACTATTTACATTATTCGGACTATTGTCCTCATCTTTGTCGCCATATTTATTACGTTTCGGACGTTGTACGCTCCGGCCTTCTTCAGGTGGTCGGAATGTCAAACTGTACCCTTTATTTTGCCAACTGGAGTAGGCTCTTCTAGTTCCACGTGCCATGTTTAATGGATGTCATTTATCAGTTATCTCCTGTTAATTCCCCTCAGAGAGTGAAAGTTCTCCACTGCCTTAACCGGGTATTGAACTCACACTCTTTGGTTCCTGTCACTGGATCTAACCAACGCCTTTATCCACTGCGTCATGTGTCCTTAAACATGTCACAGTCTACCCCAGTGAGCTAAATAAAGAGTTCAGTTTGACATTCCAACCACCTGAAGAAGGCCGGAGCGTACGACGTCCGAAACTTTGTAATAAATATGGTGACAAAGATGAGGACAATAGTCTGAATAATGTAAATAGAGAACCCTTTCTGTCCTGCTATTTACCATTCTTTTTCTCCCACCCCATGGCTTTGAGTAGGAGAAGATTTATACCTTTCCCAAGGGTATCAGTACGTAAGTGAATGTAATGGATCCGACTGAAATTCGAACTTGGCTCTCCGATATCTCAATCCGAGTCGCTATCTATTGCTCCATCGTCCCTCTTCAGGTATTCAAGGACAAAGATACCGAATCTTTGTCTGGGTTCAGTATATGCCTATTGGGAACTGGCAGATATTTTGATAATATTTCGAAAGTTTTTTAGCCGTTTTTGACTGGAAAATGGATGTTTAAAAAAAAATATCAACATAAGAACTTAAATCCTGTTTCTCGTCAGATCAAGATTCTTATATGAACGTCATGCCTCGCATTGAACTCATTCCAAAATATATAAACATTTAGCTACGTTCAACTGTTTTCTGAGATCAGTTATTAAAAATGGAAATGAAGTTATTTGTTTTTTTTTATTGAGAATCTAATTTGGAAAATGTCCAGGATTTATCTTACTCTTTTCCAAGTGTATCGTCTCTTTTCAGAGAAGCCTGATATGATTATTCTAATACGTAGCAAAGAGAAATTGAACAGAGTGTAAAACCTGTTCTATTACACTCCACGAATTGTCCGAGGGTTAATTGATAACAGTTTTATACACAGACTAACTTTTTTGTAGGAGTTTTTGAATTATTTTCATTTATTTCGAAAAATCTCTCTTAATCTTTATTTATAAAGAGAAGATTTTTCCCGTAAAACTTTGAACAGAAATTTTAATGACTTGAGGAAATCTTACGCACAATGACAAAATAGTGTAATTTAATTTAATTAGATTCAATTTAATTTTAATTTAAAACTTAATATTAAGCTTAATCCATATTAAATTCTTTATTTAAGAAGTTATGGTAAGGATTAATTGTTTAAAATCTGTTTTGAGTTTTTGTCATATTTTTATGCATGCAAATTTTTTTTTTTTTTTGTGAATTGTAAAAATAAAGTTTTATTATTGAAATCTTAACAAACATTGCGTCATCTCTTCCTTTTCTCCTCACGTTTATTTTAATTAATTTTTCCTTCTGTTTACCACAATGGCAGGAACTTAAGTAAACAAATGGAGTAATTGTTTTTTTTCCCTGACAATAGACTTATATATTTATAGTTTATACCTATGTAGTACAATTTGGTTCTTTATCGATCTGTTAATCGATCTCAATTTCTTATCTAGCGATCTATTTATCTACCGTATTATATTCCTATCTATTTAAATATTTATTTATCAACCTATCTATTATATCTCTGTTCCTATCTATCTATCTATCTATCTATCTATCTATCTATCTATCTATCTATCTATCTATCTGTCTGTCTGTCTGTCTGTCTGCTGTCTGTCTATCTAGCACGAAGCACACTTGCCTCTATGAAATCTTCAACCACCGTCACAAAACAGTAGATGACATAAAAGGTATATATCTATCTATCGATAGATAGATAGATAGATAGATAGATTTTTTTATTTAAGGCTTCCAAGGTTCCTTTCAATCAGTTTGTCGGAACCTTTTTCGATCACAATCTATCTATCTATCTATCTATCTATCTATCTATCTATCTATTTATCTATTTTATTTATCATCTATTTTATTATCTATCTATCTATCTATCTATCTATCATATTTTGTTCCTATCTATCTATCATATTTTTGTATCTATCTATCTATCTATCTATCTATCTATCTATCTATCTATCTATCTCTCAAAAAGCACCAAGCACACTTGCCTCTATGAAATCTTCAACCACCGTCACAAAAACAGTAGATAAAAAAAATACACTGACAATATAAAACTACATAAAAAGTCTCTATCTATCTATCTATATATATATATCTATATATATATATATATATATATATATATATATATATATATATATATATATAAGAACATTAAGATATATATTCCGGTGTTCTTCTTGATATTTTTTTATTTTCATTTTTACAAAACAGTGCTCAATGTAAATTTACAGAGCACAAATATTATAAATTAACTGATTTAAATTATGGTTTTTTCGCTGCACAGTAATAACCATGTTTCAAAAGCTGAAGCAAAAACTTCAAATTTAATTATATAATTAAATTAAAAGCATTAGTTCCATTTCAGGTGTTCCAATATATGATTGAAGATGAAACGGAACTAATGCTTTTAATTTAATTATATAATTAAATTTTAAGTTTTTAGCTTCAGTCATATAATTTGTGCCCAGCAGTTTTGGGTGTTATAGACACTTTTATCTATTTTTAGTTTTTATTAATTTCAATCAAACAAATGATTTAATAAGTTTTATTCATTGAGTAGACTTTACCTTTTTATTTTATTTTATTTTTTTTTACAGTTTTACTTATCGAGTACAGTTAAAAAATTGCATATTTTGTTTGTGGTGAATCATAATTTGAATTCTGGGTTTAATATATTTTCCATTCAATGTATCCAATACAAAAGATGTCAATTTATTTGGAGCTATTCTTGAAATAGTAAAACTTTGAAGTCAGTCTGTAAGTAAAAACTACGGAAATTAAGTATTCCTGTACAGTTTTCAGGCGATATTTAAAACTAAAAGCTCAAAACTTGATAAAAGCTATGGATTTAATATTTCGTTTCAAAATTTATCACATCAAACCCCAACTTTCTCACGGAGTGCCATATTGATTTTCTTAACAAATAAAAAATCAGCCTGTCCTATTGAAACTGTCATCGATGCTTATGGCGGTTCATTAAGTAGATGCGTCAAAAAACGTCTCAAGTTTATATATGCCAATTCTGTCTCAAATAAAGTTCTTCTTTCATAACTTATGCGTCTTTTACTAAATTCATACGAATGTCCTCAAAGAAACGAGCAAGCCTGGATAATGTAAGAAGTCGACAGTGTTTGAAACTAAGGGAAATTAAGTTTAATTATCGATATCTTTCTGGCGTGTGAGACTGTAAAAAAAAAATTACAATGTCTTAGCACTGAAATTGTCTTCACAGAACAATTACCAAACTTTATATGTAGACTCAATCAGATGCCAGCCAACGTGAAAAAACAAAATTCAACCCACTCTAAACGTTAATCTTCCTCCAAATTGTCACGAGCAGACTGAATATTATGTATTTCAGTTTGGGCTTTTCTGTTCGTGGTAAAAACGAAAAAATATACATATTATTTTTTTCTTTTTCCAGACATTTGACACCCAGTTCAGGCTATAGAAAAAGTTTTTCATATGTGCGTGAAAAGTAATGGGTATCGGTGAGGAAAGTGGAAGTGGCGGGCCGGGTTCAATTTTCACCCTAATCTAGATAGATTCATCTTTTGTATCAATTCCCTTTGGAAAGGAACGACTATGTCATTTCTATCTCCGGTTATGGGTTAAATAACAGGGCATATTGAACTATAAACCTTAGGAGGCACGGTGGAGTAATAGATAGGGAGAAATCGGAGAGCCGAGTTCGAATTCAAGTCGAATTCATTACATTCACTTACGTGCTAATATCCTTGGCTAAAGGTATGAATCCTCTTCTTCTCCCCCATCCTCAGCTATGGATAAACAGCAGGGGAGACCGGGTTCTATAGCCTTGGATAGCAACTGGTCTACCGCAGAAAGAAATGGCAACCTACTGCGGGAAAAAATCAGTCATGTATCGAAAGATGCATGATCGCCTAAGCGTGTATCGCGCATTTCATTATAAAGTAAATGTGAGATGATGTTCTGGTATCAATCCTGTGGGCAAGGCAACGGGAAATCTATTCTCTATCATTCCTAAGATGATAAGGAAAAGGAATCTAGAGATTTATATATATACCTACTCCCTGAAGAGATACCGTATATAAAGAAAAATTATATGTAATTGAGATACAAGTTTTATACCATAAACGAATTTGATGAGCCACACACACACACACACACACACACACACACACACACACACACACACACACATATATATATATATATATATATATATATATATATTATACGTGCTAATACCCTATGGGTAAATAGCCGGACGAACTGGGTTCTATAGCCATGGATGCCAACTGGTCTAGGAGAAGGACAACTCTGAATTCAAAACCTGCGAAGGGTCGTTTGGGGACCTTGTGGCACGTAGTGCACCAGGTCTCTCCTTTTGGCCCTTCAAAAAGTGTGGATGGTCCTGCACGAAACCTTCACCACTATAATCAAATCATATGTGCTGGTGTCTGGCTGTCGGTTCCTAGGAACTGAGCTGCTTGACCCTCATACGACGATGGGAGAGTTCACCATATATATATATATATATATATATATATATATATAGATAGATAGATAGATAGATAGATAGATAGATAGATAGATAGATAGATAGATAGACTCGTTTCGAAAAACCCTCGAATTTTTGATTTGCTAATAATCAAATCAATCTCGATGGAAAAAAAGTTTTTAAAAAAAAGAGCTACAAACATGAACTTCTGCTGACAAAAAAATCGCACAGATGCAGGTCTGAAGCCCAAAAAAAAAACCCCGATACGAGTAAACAACTAACTAGCAAAAGAGCTCAATACAACCGTAGAGCAGATTCTAGATACACCTAGTGAGCGTTTAGGTGAAACCTAGGTAGGTTTGTCTGGCTTACTAGGTGTATCTATATATATATATATATATATATATATATATATATATATATATATATATATATATAATGTTCAAACACTAATATTCCATGGTTATAATTTATTACATTGGAATCGTAATCACGATCCAATTCATCAAACCTACAAATTCAAAAAAAAAAAAAATCGGAAAATATAACTCCGGGTCTAAAAAACAAAATTTTAGTGTGAGTGTATATGTGAGAGTGGGAAACAAGTGTGAGAGGGAAATGTATGAAAGCTCTAGAGAGAGGGTGTATCAAAAGAAAGAAGAACAGGAAGGCCTAAAGGTGAAGGTGGGGATTCAAATTTAACAGAAAGAAGTTTTAAAGAGAGGAGTTAAATAACGGTTTAAATGAGTGAGATACAGATAAATAGGAATTATTTTCAGATGCATAAATCGCTACCGATTCGCTGACCTAAAATTAAAATTAAAAAACAGACACCGGAAACGTGTGAATACATTTGTGGTGACATTACACACAATAAAAAAAAAACGATATGATCTAAACTTAAAATCCATCCAATCCATACCGCCGATGTATGTGTGAAAATTTTCCGTCTGCTTTGCATTACTAACCTTATGTATACAAGAAAAGAGAAGATGAAACGTTACTGGTATGCCACTCAGTGTCAGGTTGGTGGCTTGCGTGTAGGACGGGAATATCAGTGCTAAACTGAGCAAAATATAATTGGTAAGAACTACGTACGACGAGTCCATTTTACACCTTGATAACCGTATTATTACCAGCATGCATGTATATATATATATATATATATATATATATATATATATATATATATATATATGTGTGTGTGTGTGTGTGTGTGTGTGTGTGTGTGCAGATATGTACGTTAGGTAAATAATGGTGTTCTTTAGTATTTTTGTGTTTCTTTTTAAAAAAACAATGCTCCATACAGAAGTAGAGCTTAAATTATAATTATTTTAAAAAAATATATGATTCCTTTGCTACATAAGAGTTCTCATGTTTCAAAAACGAGAGCCGAAAACCTCAATATAATTATTAAAATTAAATTGAATTAAAGTATCAAGCCCTGTTTCATCCTCAAGCGAAAATTTAGGAATAATCAATCTTGAAATTTACGTATCTTTATAAGCATGCTCATTCGCAAAATTAATTACTATGGAAACGGCTGGTGCGACCATTTTGATAAGGGGCCTAAGAGATAATTTTTAACCAATTTATCTATATTTCTAAGGACACCGCTTTCATTATTATGATAATAATATATATATATATATATATATATATATATATATATATATATATATATATATATATATATATTTGAATAAAAACAGACCACGTTAAGATTCCATGTAATAAGTTATTTCACCATAACCCCTTTAACAGGGTTCTGGATCATCAGATTTTACTTCCAAAAGCTGAAATGAAAAATGAAAAGAAATTCACACGTTTTTTTACGGACATCATCAAGTATACGTAAAATTAACGAAGTAAGGAAGTGAGGTGGGAGAGAGGATATGAGTGTGTCATATGTATCATTTTAGTTTCCTATTTTAACCCCAGTGTGTCGGCTGGATGTTGCTCAAATTTAACGCGTCTCGTTTCTAGATAAAGGTGGCTAAGGGGTGAACGATAAGAACTACATTAAAGGAAGACGTTACAACAACCCCAATAAATTACACGACAGGTTTCATTCAAATTCTTAGACGCTGTCAGTTCGCGTTACTTTAACGTGCATATTTGGGAGGTTAAGGTTTGATAAATATCTAAATTTTAAACAATCTACGAAGGAATTAATTTGAAATTCTGTGGAGTTTTGGGTATTTTCATATGAAACAGTCGATTGGAAAAATCCATAGACAGAACATTGAATGAGCAATCCAATTTATATATATATATATTTGATTTAGGTTGACATCTATTCGTTTGATTTTTGTTCATTAAGTAACCTCGTGGTTGTTTTTATGTACCCAATTATCAACAGTTATTCCCATTTAAATAATTTTATCATCTACAATGGGGTAGTATATTTCAATCTCAATTAAAATACCAATCTAAATTTTCCTTCGTGCTATTTAAAATTCACTCCCAATTGGAGAATATTAGAGGAGAAATTTGGAAGAGATTTCACT